AGCAGGTGGGTAAGAGGGGGGGTAAGAGGGGGGTAAGAGGGGGGTAAGGGGGGGTGAGACGCGATGCCGCACAGCGTTTGTCATGTCGTTGTGTTTGCGCACAGTGCCCCCTAAGCGGTCCCAATGTGGGTTCGTACTACCCGGCCGTGTGTGTGGGGGGGGGCCCTAGTCCGCAGAGTACGAAAGTAAATTATTCAGATAAATTGCAAAGGAGCAATGAGTGCATCTCTCTGTGTATGTACGTCTGCAAATGGTGGTTGAACAAGGGACTACATACTGACATACTGACATACTGATGTCCCCCAGGTTCGCGGTGTGGCGGTGGCTCTGAGGCACCGAGTGGTGCTGCTCCAGGGGCCCCCGGGGACTGGGAAGACCACCACCATCACCAGGTTCTTATACCACCTGAAACGCAACATGAGGTACGGAGTACGGTGTACGGTGTACGGTGTACGGTGTACGGGGCTGGGTGTGAGTTGTGAGTTGGGTCGGTCTTTCAGAGCTGGCCGCAGCTCTCCGGGAAGGCCGGTCCTTTCCTAGCACTCCTGTACGACACAAAACACACGTATACATACATACGTACATACAGGTATAGACGTGTCCCTTCCGCAAATAAGCCCGTCGTTACGCAACACGCATTTTCGATACTCTCATGCCATGCTGATGTGTCGACAGTCTGCGACGTTTGTACGACAACAGTCGTACACATTAGATCACACACACACACGTATCCCTTTACTTAAGAACTGAAAGCAACTTACTTGCAATGTTGAAAGCCACGTGTGTGCGTGTGCGTGTGCGTGTGCCACATACACAAGCCGCCTCTGAGCCGCTAACCCCTCCATCCCCCACCCTCCTACCCCCGCTACCTGCCCGGGGCCAGGTACGGCCACCCCATCCTTGCATGCGCCCAGTCCAATGTGGCCGTGGACAACCTGCTGGAGGGGCTAGTGGACCTGGGGCTGAGGGCGGTGCGGGTGGGGCAGCCGATCAAGGTGACAGGGGGGAGGGGGGACGGAAAAGGGGGGCCTGCTGTACATATATAAACACATGCACACACAGATATACGCGTAGTAGTAGGCGGTGAGAAGGGGCCAGCTTTGCGAAGTAGGGTAGCGCCGGGGGGGAGGGGGATGTGGGGGAGGGGGATGTGGGGGAGGGGGAGGAGGAGGGGGATGTGGGGGAGGGGGAGGAGGAGGGGGAGGAGGAGGGGGAGGAGGAGGGGGATGTGGGGGAGGGGGAGGAAGAGAGGGCCCCCTCTGGATCTCACTGCTAGCCACCATCCCTCCCTCTGTGCACCCTTCGTACCAGCCCCCCCCACGCTCTCATCCTACCCCTCACCACCCTCGCCCCCCCACCTCCCCGTCGCGGGTCCCATTCGATTTTACAACACCCCATAATCCCCCACCACTCACCACATTCACATCCTAAAACCCTATAACCCCCTTCCTCCTCCTCCTCCTCCTCCTGCTGCTCCCCCTCCTCCTGCTGCTCCCCCCCCACCCCCCCATCCCCACCCCCCCGCAGGTCCGCGAGTCCCTCCGCGACGCCACTCTGGACGCGCGCATCCTGGCGCACCCGGCCCTGGCCGCCCTGGAGGAGCACCAGGCGCGACTGCGGGAGCTGCGGCAGCGCCTGCCGGGCCTGAGAGGTCGGGAGCGGGGTCTGGGACACAGAGATGCCTCGCTGCTGGCGCGCAGAGTGAGGGAGATGCGGACAGACATGATGACGGACATACTGGCGGGCGCGGACGTCATCTGCTCCACGTGCGTGGGGGCGGGTGAGTTGGGGGAAGGGGGGAGGGCGTGTGTGTATGTGTGTGTGTGTGTTTGGGGGGGTTATCAATGGACCCCTTCTCGCCCCTTCTCCCCCCTCCTTCCCCGCGACCCGATGTCCTTCAGGAGGTGATCAGCTGCAGGACCTGCGCTTCCCGCTGGTGGTGCTGGACGAGGGCAGTCAGTGCTGCGAACCGGAGGCGCTGATACCGCTGGTCAAGGTGGGTGTGCGTGTGTTTCGGGGAGATGGGACTGGGAGGGGGTCAAGGTGGAGGTGCTGGAGGCAGGGGAACAACCCAAGGGGTGTGGGCGAGTTGTGCAGCTGGTTTAAAGGAGGGCCACAGTCGCGGCGCTGTGGGTGTTTTCCGTTCAACCCTCCCCTTAAATCTTCCCCTACTCTCCTCTCCCCTCTCGTACACACAAACACACATGCACTACCCTCTTTCTCCCCCCTCCGAAACGCTCCCCTTCCTCAGGCGTGTCGTCATGCCGTACTTGTGGGTGACCACTGCCAGCTGCCCCCGGTGGTGCAGAGTGAGAAGGCGGCGGGGGGGGGCCTGAGCAGGTCCCTGTTTGAGAGGCTCATGGAGGCGGGGGTGCCGGCAAGCATGCTGCAGGTAGGGGATGGGGAGAGGGGGAAGGGGGAGGGGGCGAGGGGCATGGAGGAGTTGCCTTGCTTTCGGGCGGCCCCCCCCTCCCCCACTACTCTGCCCCTCTTTCCTGCCTTTCCATCTTCCCATACCTTCTTCGCGGCTTGGCTCTCGCGGATAAGCGCAGGTCGGGGGCCCCCATCCCCACCCCACACCCCGACGGCAAAACGCTTTCCCCCCCTCTACCCCCTTCCCCCCTTTGGTGCCTCTGCTTCATTCGCCCATGGTTCGTCTTACCCCCTCTCTGTGCGGCTAACCCCTCCCTTTCCCTCCCCCCTCCCCCTTCTAGCTTCACTCGTCCGTGGTTGACGCTTTCCCCCCCCTACCCCCTACCCCCCCTTTGCTATCCCGTCAGGTGCAGTACCGCATGCACCCCGTCCTGTCCTCCTTCCCCTCCGCCCGCTTCTACGGCGGCAGGTTGCTAGACGGGGTGACGGCGGCTCAGCGGCCCCCGCCCCCCCTGCCCTGGCCGGCGCCGCACACCGCGGGCCCTGTCATGTTCGTGGATGTGCCGGACGGGCGGGAGGAGGTGTCGCAGGTCGGTAAGGGGGCTTGGAGGGGGCGGGGTAGGGGGGTGCGAAGAGCGAAGAGGTGGGAGACCTCAGCTTCGTATCGTTCACTCCTCAACAGCGTGTATCGCATTGAGGACGATTCGACCCGGCGGCCGGCGGCCCCCTATCACCTATCAGTCGTCCGTCCCCTGGATAGGTCACCTGCGGGTCACCTGGTGCAGGTCAATCACGTCGCTCGTCGGGGCCGCCCTCTCTCTTTCCCCCCCCCCCGTTCCTTACTACTTTTTCGTCGCCTCTACACCTACCTTTACTACTTCCTTACGGCTTCGTTTTACTTTTCTTCCGCTCTTATTTTAGTCTTGGCGGCTATAGGTAAGTAGGTAGGTTTCCGACATCATCTTCATCACATCATCCCGAGGTCGCCGCCTTCAAAACCACCTCCTGGTCAGTTCTGCTTTTTGTACATTCTTTCCTTGGCAGCAGCTTCACTCGTTCGTGGTTCGTGTTTTCCCCCAGCTCGGCCTCCTCTCCCCCCTCTCCCCCCACCCCCGTTGTTTCCCCTCCCCTCTAAGGGCGGCAGTAAATCCAACCGGGCGGAGGCGCTGGTGGTGATGGGGATGGTACGGCACATGATCAAGGCGGGAATATCCCCCGCGGATATTGGCATCGTCACGCCGTACCTGGCGCAGGTACGATGTGCCGCCGTACAACACCATAACGCACCGCACGTCTCTCATCCGTCCATTTCGCTCGAAGCCCCAGGCTGGCGGCGATATTGTGGGTGAAAGGCCCAACCACTCTTGACCCAATTCGTATTCAGTTACATCGGCTTATTGTCTGACGTGCCGTACCCCCCCCGGCGTGTTTCCTCTCCTCTCCTCTGTACGGGCCGTACAACCCTGCCGCACAGGTTCAGTTGCTGTCCAACCTTCTGATGCCCCTGGTTCCCCCCGGGGGACCCCCCCTGGAGGTGTCCAGCGTGGACGGCTACCAGGGCCGGGAAAAAGAGGTATTGGCGGCTGGTTGTATGTATGTCTGTTTGTATGTATGTCTATCTGTCTGTATGTGTGTATATGTATGTCTGTATGTGTCTGTCTGTATGTGTGGAGGGGAGCTGGTGGGTTGCAGGCGGGAGAGGGGTAAATGCGGTGGCTATGGTGTTTAGCGGTGGGCGGTGCTGCACTGCTGGGTGATCGAACTCTGTTTGCAGCCCTGGCATCCCACTGCCCTCCCCCACTGCCCTCCCCCACTGCCTTCATTCCCCCCTCTCAAAGATACTCCGTCCACCACCGGCCTACCGCTCCCCCTCCCCCTCCCCCTCCCCCTCCCCCTCCCCCTCCCCCTCCCCCTCCCCACCCCAGGTGATGGTGTTCAGCACCGTCCGCGCCAACCCCTCCTCGGTCCTGGGGTTCCTGGAGGACTGGCGGCGACTGAACGTGGCCATCACCCGGCCCCGGAGGGCACTGCTGCTGGTGGGGAATGCAAACACACTTAGACGGGGGAGTGGGAGCGCAGAGATGAACACCGCGGCACGGGCAGCATGGGCGGGTTCCGCGGCGCTGGCTGCCGCTGGATCTGGATCTGGATCTGGATTTGGATCTGGATCTGGATTTGGGTCCGGGGGCCCGGGTGATGGTGGTGGTGGTGGCGGCAGTGGGTTGGGTGGTGGTGGTGGGCTTCCTGCGTTGGGGTCAGGCGGTCACTGGACTGCTTACATGGCCTGGTTGGAGGGCTTGCCTGGTGGTGTGGTGGTGCGGGGGGGCGCTGGGGGGCTGAGCAGGCTGGGCTGGGTTATGGATTGAGGGGCAGGTCGGGGGGAGGGGGAGAGGAAGGGTATGGCATGGGCGTGTCCGTCACCTCCCGTGACTCTCACTGAGGTGGGGGGTGCGGGTGTGGATGAGGATGCGGGCATCGTGTTCACAGACTCGCAGTGGGTACTGTTACCAGGTTGGATTTGGGGTGGAGGTTGGGTTGGGCTGGGTGGGGTGGAGGGAAATTTGTTATCTTGTGCCCCGTGTGAAAAGGGAGCTGTGGGGGTGAAGGATGTGGGTCGGCTGGGTAAGGGGCCGGGCTGCTGGCGGCTTCCAAGGTGATGTCCAGAGTGGAGGAGGGGGGGGAGCAGGGAGGGGTGTGAGCCTATTAGAGTTTTTGGTTGGATCCACTGTACTGCCATTCATGGGGTCGTGTTTAGTCGTTCGAGGGGTCTGGAGTTTTAGAGGTGTAGTGTCCCAGGCAATCGAACATAGAAACGGCGCAAGAAAATTGCAGGACATAGATTTGTTATGGAGACGATGGTTAAGGATTAGGGCAGCGACTTGAAAGCCTTTCCATGTCGAACTGCTCCACTGCCTGTATACAGACGAGGCGAGCACCTCCCACGTAAATTTCACGTGGGCAGATGGTTTGGATGAATAAAGATGTGACGGTAAGGCCCAGCTTGGCAGCCCCGGTTCCGCCTCGCCCTGTCCTATCCGGCACCTTGAACGCAACCGTACAGCAAGTCATGAAGGCTATAGGACTTAATTGTAGCTTAGATGCGGCAGGAGCAAAGCGAATATAGCCTCTAAGCTAAGTTATGTACGGCAGCCGTATGTCTTGCTGAGAGTTTCGAATTTATTATTTCAGCTGACAGCTTCATAGTTCCGGCATTCTGCCTACACTATTGGAGCTTATTGTTGCTCTCACGTATCCTTGCATATTGCCGCTTAAGCTTAAACTTCTCGGATGGATGGATGGATGGATGGAAGGATGGATGTTACAAGCTTCAGCGAGCTGGTACGGCTCAAACGAACCCGAAGGCTCATGAACCGCTTTGACAGTGCCGTCGATAGGAAAAAAGAGATAAAGGAAACAGAACAGTTTTACGCGAGAAGAAAACGAATGTTTATGAGAAAAAAAGCGTCAACTTGACTCTTAACACAATTGCCTGTTATCGCAGAGAAAGTTAGGTAGCTATGTGCTCATGCCGTGAGTGAAACATCTCAAAAATTGCCTTCGCAAGGCCGCGCTGATCATCCACTTGCATGATATCACGGATATCCGCATTGACGGGCACATCGAGGTCCCAGAGCTTCTGTCGCGCAGACACAATCGCCGGGCATTCTACCGAAAAAAATGCTTCTCATCCTCAATAGCTATATTGCTACGACACGCAGCGCACACGCGGTGCTCCCTAGCTCTGTTGCTCTCACTGTTAACCGCCAAGTCGGAGACACAAACGAAAAAGGAGTAGGGCACGATGATGCGCCGGAGGATATAACTCGCGTACGGCTTCGGCAGCCCCATCCAGTGCTTATGCCGGCACATCTTCACGCCGGGCTTGCTACCGTCCGTCACGAAAACTATAGGGTCCACAGTCAGCCTGTCATTCGCCCAGTCGTCGTTGACACGTGCTCTAAGGGTGTCCATCAGCGCTTCGACATCAAGCTTGCAAGCCGAGTATCGTCTAACCCTCACATCAAGGCTTCCCCCGACTGCTTCCTCAACCCAGTCATGCTCTAAGTGGTCAAGGATACGAATGACTTTGGATCCCCAACCATCAAACTGCAAATTCGTTACCAACGCCAAACGAATTTCTTGACGAAAGGCGCTGTGGTATACGCTACTAGTGTCCTCCACCAAGCTATTCCAGAAGCGAAATACGGATTCAGCCCAGTGCAGCTGTAGCGGCATCTGCCCTAGCTCCAGAAACAAAAGCTGGAGGGGTGGTAAGGAAGTCCCTACCAGTTGTTTCATGAAAAAGATTTGGAGCTTGACCATTCGGTCTCGTATGGCCACATCGAAATAGCATGACCGCGGTGCCTCGTTAGCCGGATAGCCCTTTTCCAACATCACGAGAACCTGATCAGGGCCCCACACCTGCGAGCCATACGATAAGACAGAACGCACTTGCGCATTGAAACACTTCATGCCAACGCTAGGTAGCAGCAGACCCTGCCGGCGCAGCTTGTTGTGCAGAGCAAACATAGCCTGTTGGCCAGCCGAGAACAGCTTAGCCGTGCAGGACGCAAAACCTGAGTCTGGTCCGAAGTGCAGCCCCAGGTAGCAGGCGCGTGTATTCCAGGTAACCAGTCGGAACATCGGTAGCCCCTCTTCAAGTACGCGCATGGTGACCAGGTTATATCCGCTGAGAGCATAGACCTGCCTTCTAACCTGACCATTGGGATGAAAAAACAATAACTCACATTTTTGCACGTTGACAGTGAGACCGAAAGCCTCTGACCACTCCCGCAGTGCCCGTAGTAAGCTCATCAGCCGTCTCAATGACATCGTAAATAGGCTCAGGTCATCAGCGTAGAGGGTTAGGGGCACTCAACGTCCTTCAACGCTAGGGGTATCATGGGCAGCCATGGCATCAGGAAGTGCGACGTCTAGGGCATCAATGTAATCTGCAAAACCTTCAACAAAAAATGAAGAGTGTGGGGCTCATTGGGCAACCCTGCTTGACCCCTTGGTTGGAGGGAAACGCCTCTCCTTTTGCTCCATTAACCTGGACTCGCATTTCCACCCAATTATAGCGGTGCTTGATGACATCTAACGCTGACTCCGTGACTCCTCGTTCCTCAAGTCTAACCCAGAGCAGCTCTCGATTAACCCGGTCAAGCGCTTTCTCAAAATCAATCTGGCAAATAAACAACGCTTGTCCGGGAACATTAACAAAAGCCTTACGGCATCGGTCTGTGAGGTGTCGCACCGAGAGTGTGCTGCACCGTGGCCGAAAGCCACCCTGATAAGGGCTCCAAGCACCACAACGTTCCCCCCAAGCCTCTAGCCTCCTTTAAAACAAATGGAGCAAATAGTTCTTTGTTCCTTAATCAAGCAATAACGCGTAAAGCTTAGACAAAGCCCCACCAACGGCAAGCCCCCGGTAGTTTCTAGGATCCATGATGTCACCCTTCTTGTGAATGGGGGTGAGGGTGGATACCTTGAACTGCCTAGGGTAGTCCCCAGTCGTCCGGATATGTTCCTACAGACACAGCAGATACGGTGCAAGCACCAGCTCTTCCTTTTCTCCCACCTTCCTGGTGGCATACTTATAACACTCAGCAGGTGTAGCAGTCGCTCACCTGACGGGTCGACTGACTCTGCGGAAGCGTTGTGTTGACAGTCCTCGCCGGAAGGAGACCAACCCAGCGGCAAGCACTAGCGTACATAGACGCGTACGAAAACAATCTATACGGCGGCAGCGGAGTCTTGAACTCCGAACACCTAGTAGACGTGATACTT